GCATAACTCAAATTAAGTCAATAAAGCTATTACACCAGTCGAAGATCTGGCTTGAAGTGCAATTATAAGCCTAAACAGAACAAGAGAATTCAGGAAGAATTCAGCATGGATGCAGTTCTACAGAAGAACAGCGAAATGTCAATGACAGGCAGTGATCCCGAATGTGTACCAAAGTCTTTTGGTCTACAGAATCAACTAATATTAACCTATTCCTGGTGCTATAAATGTTTTCCGTGATTCCATCTTCAAAATGTTTGGAAATTATAAAATTGTTTAACTTCATATTTAGGAACCACACAATAAAGTAAATGCTTAGTTCCCTCTCATTCTGACAAATCCGAGTATTAGAATGCCACCCGCTGATTTAACAGGTGGGAAACTTTATTGGGTCTGCAAGCTGCCAGACAGCTATAGGATAAAAGGTAAGAGAGTACAAGGATGCTGTGGGCCTGACTGATCACCTGCTGAAGGGACCAGTAAGGCTTCCCATTGGAGCCAATTGGCTGGGGCCTACTTCTTTCTTTTTTTTTTTTGCCTTCCTCATATCATCATGGAGACACAGTTAGATTTGATAAATATAGGATTTTGGAGTTTAATGTTAGGAATCGTATGAATGTTAGTTTGTCATAAATTGCAGCCAGAGTCCAGCACGAATAAAAGGCCAAAGAGCAAACAATCAGAGACATGGGATTTTGCTGGTGGACCCCAAGTCTATGGGCAAAAAGGAGACCTGAAGTCTGCAGATCAGGGTCCCATCTGGTACTTTCTATCCCCTTTGTAGGGGGAAGATGAGAGGATTCCGCAAAACAAGCTGAATTCTCGGGGTAGGTAGTGGACAGTTTACCCTGACTTATGGGCTATATGATAGATGGCCTGTTTTGTAAACATTGCACTGGACCCACCTGAATGCCTGGTATGGGGAGATGGGCAAAAAACTCCCCCCACTCTGATGTTCAATTTTAATAAAGTTGTGGCCATTCACTTGCTTGTCCTGATTAATTCACATATTTTCTTACAGATGACGTATTTTAGACATAGGATTAGTTTTAGCCGTGGAAGACTTTTTTTGAATAAAGACCAGAGGAAGGTGAAGAAAGCTATATCCAATGTACTTTGGACTACAATTAATGGGCTCAAATATTTGAAAGGATCCATCAGTTTTGTGCCTCAGTTTTTGGGTGCCCAACATGAGTGACTTTGGCCTGATTGTCAGAAGTGTTGAGCAAGCCTTCCAAGATATAGCAATGTTTTTTTAAAAGTTAACAAAACAAGATAGTTAACGTACACAAACCTAAATTAATGTTGTCATATGCATCAGGGAAGTCTTACTTGTTTTTGGATCTTCTGCAGAACCAAGCACATCCCATGAAACACTACTGTTTAACAAACAATAATAGCGAAGACCGATGGTCTATTCTTAATTTGTACCTCTATGCCAACCTACTGCAGGTTTTTCATAACTTTGTGTGATAATGGCTTAGAGATGCTATGCTACCTAGGCACAAATAGATGAGTTAAAGATGCAATGCCAAGCTTAAATTTGAATATCCTTGATTTTGTGATATCTTTATTAGATTTTTAAATAACTGTATTAAACTTAGTACTGAATGTCATGTTTCTTCACATAATATATTGCTGCAGAAAAACTCAGTTTTAATATATTGCTAATTGTGAGTTCATAACTGTCCTGTGCACCTTTTCTTCACAAGAATTTTCAGTACAATAGTGCATAATAAACTATACATATAGCATAATTTTAGTAGATAATCCATCTACATGTAATTTTTAGAACATGCAAAATTATTATACAATATATGTAAATAATTTTTAACACATTTGTACCACCTTTTTCTAATATAAAGAATTAAAAAAGAAATTCCCAGTGCTGAAAATAAACTTGTGAACAACATGTTCACAGTTTTCTGGTTGCAAATTAAATTCTCTACTCAATTTAATAAGAACTGCCACAACTTGACATATCCATAATGCAATAAAATATCTACACAGTCATTGTAATGACTATAAAGAAATAAACACAATGATGTGCTGGAGGGGACTGTGACGGAGTCTACTCACCACAGCGGCCTGATGGCCATCACGGGGATTAGCTCCACAAGCTGGTGTACCCTCTCCAGGTGGTGCATCTCCCATCATTGTCTCCGCCTGCAGACCTGCTCAGTCCAAATACCGCAGCGTTCTCTTCATGACTTGGCCCTCCAGCCGTGTCACCATTTGTGTTTCCGCCCTTCCCGGGGTGGGGGCGGGAGGAGTATCTGAGTTCAACAGTCCAGCCACTTCCCCAGTTGTGAGTGAGGGGGACCTGGGCCCGCCCACTACTCTTCTCAGAGCTTTCAGCCAGCAAATCCCAGCAGCCAGCCAGGAGCTCCCTCTTGTTCCCCAAGTCCCTACCAGCAACTGCTCTGCCCAAGGTGCTACCCTTTCTGCAGCTTGCTAGCCCTCACACCTGGGGCTCCCCAAAGCAACTGATTGTTTCTGGCCCTGCAGCTCCTTTTATGTAAGCCCACCAGCCCCTGATTGGCTACTCCTGCACAGCCTCCCGAGGCTGCTTTTAATCCCTTCCTTTCTGGTGTGGGGTGAACAGGGACCCTTGATGCTTGTTGGGAGTCCCTTCTTAAAATCCTGTCACCAAATGTATGGTATGTGCTCAACCCCCTCTTTATCATAGATTCCTTTTCTCCCTGTGGTAGAGAAAATATGATTGCACCAGGTATTTTCAAAAACATTCACGAGAGGTCCCTTATGAGGTCTTAATTGTCTTCCCCTCACTTCAAATCACACAATTAAAACACTATATTATATGAATGGTTTAATTAGTATCCTTTTCAGGAACAAAATATAGAGTTTCCAGAAAATGTAATTAATAGTGTGTCACTCTCTTTGGCAGGGAGATTTTGCTTTTTCTGGGGTTCTGGCTAAGAGAAAGCATTTTTTATACTTAGGACAACAAATTGATAGGTTGCCAAATCCCTCCCTCCACGGGTGAGTGTGTGTGTTACAGCTGGCTCTTCAGCTGAGGTTGTAGCAACTCTCACTTTTGATTGAGGTCTCTGGTTCAATCCTCGGTATGTCAGCCAAGATGGTGGTCATCACATAACTCAGGGCTTGCCCTGGATTAGAACTGCTGTAAACCTCAGCTGTCTGTGACAAGCTTTCTTTTATTAGAGGAAGGATGTAACCTGCTTGTGAGTATGTGTTACAGGTTCCCCCTGTGCCTGATCTGCAGAGCATATGTGTCTGTAATAGCCCCTTTTAAGCTCTGTAGGTCCCCAGTTCAGTTCCTAGTCTGAGAACCAAGATGCTGCCTGTTAGACATGCACCCTAATACATCATGTACAGAACATTTTAAAGAGGTGATATCAATCATCATTTTACTAGGATAACCTGGGTTAATCATTATTTCCTTAAGGGAATTTTTGTTTGTTTGTGTCAGTTGTTCAAATATAAGCACCACATCACTAAATAATCAAATAGGATGTCAGATTCTGTGATTTGCTTAACAAATGCTTCTTTTCAGTCGTGCTCTGTGTAATGAGCTTTTAGTTTATATTTTCCACTCACTCATAGCGACATAGAGAGCAATACATTCTGGAACCAGATTTTCAGTAATATCAACCCTGAGCATTCAAAAATTAAGGGTCAGGCTCCCCAAAATTGAGGTGGCTTATAAAATGAGATTTCTAAAAAAAATAATAAATTTGGGTTCTTTTTATTTACCTTGTGGTTTCTGAGTCTTCAGGGTGCATTTGTGCCATGTTTTCTAGCCTGTCTCTACAACAAACTGTTTTTAAAAAGAATGAAAGCTGAGATTTTATGTAATCGGAGGACTCTAGGAGATGGGCTTTTAATGAAATTTATTATGAGATTTGCAAAAAAATTGCAGTAGTTAAGAACATTGGATCTTTGATTTGTCCTGCTACTGTCCTGTCATATCTTCTTCCCATTTCTATTGTATGTCACCAATAAGGCACTATTCATAATTACTCATATTTGCCACCCATGTAGAACAATGAATGTCTTTGAATGACATGAGCCAATTGAACATGTGTTGCAAGATGGGGGGGGGTGATACAGGAGGAAGTGAGCCTAGGACCATTGTGCTTTTTCCAGTGGTGACTCTCACACTCAGGAGGGGTTCTCCATAAATATCCACAAAACTAACTTATTTACCCTCCTTCTAATTCCTCCTTAAAAACTCTCCTCTGCCACGAAGCCTATAAAATACTTGACAAGGTTTAGACTGCCGGAGTACTAAGACAGTTGATCAATATTGTCTCATTGTTTCCTTGCACTCCCTTGTCTGCCTGTCTCCATCTGTTGCCTCTTGTCGTATACTTAGATTGCAAGCTCTTTGAGGCATGGATGATTTTTTGTTTGGTGTTTGTACAGCACCTAGCACAATGGGGTCCTCATCCATGGCCGGGGCTCCTAGGTGTTATGGTAATACAAATAATTAATAAGAAGTTAATGCTGATTTTCCTATATTTGTTGTCTCTGCGTATTAGAACAGTTTTGGAACTCAATAGGTCTTCCTGAGCACCGTTTGCATGATTGGGTCAGATCTATCCACCCTAAGGTTGAAGCATCTGAAGTAGAATCTGAATTCCAAGACTTAATGCAAATAGAGATTTGAAAAATGTTTGTTGTACTAGTAGTACAAAAGGGGGGGTTGTGGAAGCAGAGAAAGAACTGACAGGAAGGGGATGCAATGCATGACAGTTTGTTAGCAAGAGTTATGCTAACTGTAACCCTAATAACGCGAGATTTGTAGACGCGAGGAATGTGTGAGGCGAGTGGGAAAGAACTGTGTGAGAAGTTGTTGCGACCTTGTGTAGATAATGTGTAGATAATATGGAATGTAGACTGAGTCTACATTAGTGAGCAAAACAAGATATCAGAATGACCTTTGTATAAACAAAATGCAGCTGTTGCTCATTATTGTCTGTAACAAAAGGTATAAATGCTTGCTGTAATTGTTTACCTGTTGAAAGACCTGTTTAGCTCTCTCCCTCTATGCAATTGATAGAGAGAAAATAAAGCATCTGACTTGCTGTACCCAAACAAAAAGTGAGAACTGTATTTTTCTCCGACAATTCTCTATCCATTCTTAGTCACGCTGACCAGAACCTCATGAGTGTCCCATTGACCTCAGTGGAGTGACAACTATGGAGAAAGTTGAAAGCTGAACAAAGCCCTAAGTTATTTTCTAAATACAGTAAAAATGGCTGGCCCATAAAAGTTAGATTTCAGAAATACCATGTAGGAGTGTGTGTAAAAACCCAAAATGTAATTAGAAAGTATCATTCAAAGTAATAGCCCAAAATCCCGGTGTCAAGGAAGAGAGAAAAATCAAGAAATGAGTTTAATGTCTCTTAGAGGCGGTAATAAGAACACTTAATCCAACCTAAACTGGTAAATCAAGGGGGCCAGAATGGATAGAAAAAGAAAGACAGGGAGGGAGAAACATACATCAAGCTCTGGAAGTTATGACAGCTGAATTCCAATACAGTTACTTCTAAGGGTACAGGAAGCAGTCTCATATTTATTATTATTATTATTATTAGGGGAACTCTGGTAGGCTTTGTTGTGGGGCTTATTTATGTTTGTTAAACTTATGTTGCTCCCAGGAGAGTGTTATCTGTGGGCAATTACAGGAATGTGTTTATGTATGAATATATTTTAAAGAGTTTTTTAAAGTCATCTAGCATTTGAGATGGGTGCTCATTTATGTAGTGTAATTATCGTTATCATCATCATCAAAATTTTAAACTAAACATTTAAACTTCAAATTAAGGGGGAAATCACCCCAATAAAAATTCCATGGGGACCGTCAAGCAGCTTAAAGGGATTTTTTTAAAAAGGGGTAGCCCCCCTGCTTTGCCCTTTCTACTTCCCCCTCCTCTGTTCTATGATTTATCCTTTTCCCTCTCACCTTCTCCCTCCCTGATCTCTCCTTCCTTCAGTACTGTAAGGCCCTTGTCCCCAGAACCACTTGCAATACACTTTTGTTTACATAGTGTTCACTACAGAATTTAGGAGGCGGGGCTGGGATTCTCGAATGTAAAGAAAATGAACATTAATATACATCAGTTACTGTAAGGACAAGAGCTTTGCTGGCCTGTAGAGAGGGACCAAGAGGAAAAACGATGAGAGAAAGAAAAGAAATGAATAAAAGGAGGTCTGAAAAACTTTTCAAAGCAATTTCCCTTTCATCAGTTTGACAGTGCCATTTTCTTTCCTTTTGATTTGTTTCTTCCTTCTCTTTCATTTAAATGTTGGGATTTTTCTGTTTAAAATGAAGGAAGTAAAAAGCTGAGATGGAGTCTTTGTTGCTTCTAAATAGTTTGAAATTTCTGCATATAGGAGACAATTCAAAGTGGAAGGATTACAGCAGCCAATCAGCACAGAGAGATTTACATACAGTACAGTTATTCAGAAACTGTTCTGTGATTATGAAAATCAGACACTCACAACCAGAGTGCAGGGATTTGCATTACTGAGAAAAAAATCTCTACAGTTGTGCCTCAGTAACCTTATAGCATCTCTGCACTTTAATTGTATGAGTCACTGTAATAAAATGACTCCAGTCATTTTATCCACAGTAGAATGAATGATGAGGCATCTTCCTGAACATTCTGCATGTCTTCTGATGCTCAGACTCTTCGTACACAACATGGGGGACAGTACACTGTTCTTTTTTAGGGGAACAGATATCAGTGAAAGGCCAAGATTTGAGCCTCTATAAGTAGGAATTGTAACAAGGTTTTTAAATTTTGTATTAACTAAGCTTATAGCAGCAATAGTGTAATTGGCCCCCTCTCTTTTCCTTGGCAATAATTTTATTCCCTCACTGTGGGAAGCTCCTTGGCCTTTGGGAGGAATAGAATTATTGTGTTATAAAGCACATCAACAATGATGAATGTCACTTAAATCCAATGCATCCCACGCTGGAATTTTGTAGAGTAAGGTGAAATTTAACATTTTGGACTGGAATCTTGGCTAGTTTGTTAAGAGCCAGCTGATATTTAAATTTCTGCTTTAAAACATGCCTACTGTCTTTGTTCTTATTTAGGCCTGCACATTACATTAAGCATGTGACCTTTAATGTTCTACAAAATGCACTATTTTTAAAGATTTTTGATTCCCTTTTAATGCACATTAAAATAAATCATACAGTTTTCACTGAAAAGTACTGGAAGGAAAGGTATATTTCAGGCGTGTTCACTGATCATTAAAGGGAGACTACATTTTTGTGGCTGTCATCATGCACGCCACAAATCAATGGCTTTTTACAAAATATCCATGACTTGACGTTTTATGATTTGTGTGTGTAGGTAGGGAAATGTGACTGTAAACAATTTAGTCCCCACACATTTTTTTGTGTGCCACTATAACTGTATTGGGTACGGGTGCAATGTTTACCAATATAGTTATGCTGATACAGACCCATGTCCTAGCAGCCAAAACCATGTCTCTCACTCTGTGTCTCCTGCTCACACTCAATAGCTCTCTCGCGGCCACCCTGCAGTGCCCTGTGCCCCTGGCTGTCTTTTGTTTGGGTGCTGTGCTGTCCTGCACCATTGGTGGCCTGCATCTAGCCCTCCTGCTGCAGGGTCTGACCGGTCTCAGATGTGCTCAGAGCAGGCCTACAGGTTTGGGCCCTGCTGGCAAGATAGGTGTTTCCCTGCCTAATTTAAAAATCCTGCCCCAGGGCCTCTGGAGCTCCAGTTTGAGCTATCACTCTGAGTAGCATTTTGGCTGGTTGGAAAATGTCACCTGATGGAAGCACAGGCACTTAAAGGTGTTAGGCAGCACCTGAGCTGAGGTTTGGAAAATGCCAGTGGTGCTTACATGATGGATGTAGACATATATCTGTTCGAGTGCCTAAATCCCTTTAAAAAGCTAGCCGTTAGCCTCTCTGTGCCTTAGATGCCCATCTACAACATGGGGATAATAGCGCTTTTCTCCCTCACAGGGGTGTTGAGAGGACAAATACATTAAAGATTGAGGCACTCAGACTATCGTGATGGGGGCCCATATAAATGGGTAATATAGCTTGGTTGCATTAATTTTCTTGTGGAGCCCCTCTGCACTATGCAACCCTCTTTTGGGGAGTGGCAGCGGGGATATATTGGGAGTACTACAGAGCTTGATGCTGTGCTGGTGGAGAGCGAGAGAGCTGTAGAGTGCCCGGAGGCAGTGTGGAGATGCAATGAAGGTCCTGACTTTTTAAGGACCAGGGGTTTCTGTTCCAAAAAGCATGATCTGGTGAAACTTTGTGAAGGAACATTGTGATGTTTTCTATCCCCATGCACAGATGTTTCCAGGTAGGGGAATTATCTAAAGGGTAGGTAATACACATGGAAATCACCAAGCTGGTCATCTGATCCACTTCCAGCATCATTCAGGAATATAGATAGTTAGCTTAACTGAATTATTTTGAGGCTTGGCTGGCTTACTGGTATTCTGCATCCATACAGTCCTTTTTTCTCCATTTTTAAATGATAATACATAACAGTATTTCTCTAAGAGTTAACGCAGGTAGGAAGAACAAGTCATGTTGAAACTGTCAAGGTACAGACTCATGTCACTTTTAGTATATTATGAAATAGTGCATGAAACATGTAGGATTTAAAAAAAATTTCCAGCAAGTAATTTCAGAGACTAATAGTAGGTTATCCTCCTTCATCCATAACGCTGTGCACCATAGGAGCTTTTTATTAAAACAAAAGGCAAATTCTCGATATTAGGCTTTCCAGTTGTTTTCATTATTATTTTAGAAAGGAAAGATGTGCTGCATTTCAAGTTTATCTCTGTGTATGGACTCCATTCCCAGACCTGCAACCTACAGAATTTCGCATAGTACAAACCATTCATGCCCTTAGTCATATTAACATCAAAGCCGAAAAATAAAGGTATATCCTATATAAAATTCTAGTCTGCCTCATTTAGATAACACCCTGAACTATAAATTAAACAATAAAGATGCTCCCATGTTACCACTTTCCTAAATGCTTTTTTTTTTCTTGTTGCTCCTAGTAGTTTTGTTTTCCCCATGATATTATCAGACAATTCTGCCTGAATGTGGTCCATGCTGGACTGTGCAGATTACCAAACTAATGACATGCAGCCTTCTTGCTATTGTAACACCTCTATTCTTACAAGTGGGAATTTGGAGTGACAGACCAAAGCTGTTTGCTATCAATTTAGCAAAAATTGCATCTGCCAGATTGCCAAAATCCATTTCAGAGACAAAAATCGATTAATATTCTGATTTGTTACTTGTCATTATTGGTCACACTATATTATACCTTTCCACAAGTTATAACCTCTAGGGAAAAAACCTATTTTGTTAAATGTAATGCTTTTCCAAATATATTTTTAATTTGCTTGTACTGTCTACTTGCTATTTTTTTAAGAGCATGGACATTGTTATGATAGCTGCTATTCAAAAAAAACCTTAACTTATTTTGGAGGTTAGTAAAGTATCAAAAAAACCTATTTGTGTCACTGTGTGAAACTTTTTAAAATGAAAAGGAATTTTATAATTAAATGCAATATCACTTCAGAAATGGTTCTAATAATATTCTATTAACTGTACTTTATTTTCATAAACTATTATTATTTATTATTAATAATAATATATAATTATATGTAGTAAAGAGGTTTGGTCATATAATAATGTTTTGGAAAATATATAACTATATAGTTAATGTTTTGGAAACTGAAAATAAAATTAATCAAGTGACAGCATTCCTGGTGCATCCACCTGATTTGCTGAAAGGCCCACAAATATGGTTTTAATATTTTCTAGTTAAACTGTAGAAATATTTTCTCAAAAAGATCTAGAATATTAGCAGTAGCTTTTTTTCTATCTAACCATATTTTACTTACATGGAATTTTATTCAGTTCATTCATAAACTTCTCCTTTAACTTTGAAAATGCATCTTCTTTTCCACCTCCTGCTCCAGGACTGGCTGGTTCTGTGACATTAATTGGCAGTGAAGCTGCAATGGTGGTGGCTGGTGGTGCGGCCAGGGCCTCGTGACGACTTTCACTCACCATTTTCGTTTCCAGGGAAACAGCTACTGGAAAAATAGAAACAAAAGAAAATATTTAAATGGTTCTCATATCAACAGGTCTCAAAGATACAGGACATCAATGGATGCTCCAGCATACTGGGTAAATATCACATCATTAGCATATTGCTTCTTGTTGGTTCATACAATATTTATTAGACTACAGGGAAGGGTCTTTTCCAGAGGTAGTATCAGCTGTAGTTATTATCTTATGATCCTTCTCCAACACTGCTGAGTTTTGAACTGTTGAATCTGTTAGATACCTCACAGTTGCTATAACCCTGTTGCTTAGATTTAGCTTTTTGCCCTTTAATTTTGAAAGTGTAAGTAAACTCACTGACAGCAGTTCAAGATAAACAAACACTATATTGTATTTACAGAAGTGCGTGTGTGTTGGTAGGGGGTGAGAAGAGTCAGAGCCAAGATGTTTATGTAAAATAAATCAAGAAATTATAATCATATAAGAAAAACACCTCCAAGCTTTCTTGCAAAACCAATAATCTACTGTTGTACCCAGTTAAGCAGAATTGTACACTATGCAGAAATTGATTAGTATCCATTCCTGATCCTCACTTTTTGAAAGTAACTTCCCTTCTAGTCATTTCCTATGACATTTGCTACAGACAATATTCTCTTAAATTATGTTTCACCGGTGTATTCATGAACTATGTCGATGAGGTAGTTAACTGAAGCCAGACTGAAGCAACCACAATGTTGACACACATATGCTCCCACATTAACATACTTTTAATGTAATGTTTATTTGAGGTGCATTTTGCAAAACCTTTACTTGAGCTATAGGATAAAAACTTGTTATGGGGCCCACGTGGCACAATTTTAGTGTCACCAGAGGGTTGGTTGAAGTGTTTGTCTTGGTTTAACAGTGTTCTGATGTTCCACTGTGTCCTAAATATCATTGACTTGACTAATCATCCTTCATTTTTTATTTCAGAAAACCAGAGGGAGAAGGGATTTGAGAGATAACAATCATTCATTATTGCTCTGAGTATACTACTGCTCTCACAGTCCCAAAAGGAACTTGGCCTATAGCCTTCCATAGAGAAATTTAAATAACCACCAAATGAACAAAATGAGACACATGAAAATGAAATGAGCAAAAAACTTCCACGTAGCAAATTCATGAATCAAGACCCAAATCTTTCTCAACTTACATCATGGGCCTCTTCAAGTTACTCAGGCAATAAGAACAATGAGGAGTCCAGTGGCACTTTAGAGACTAACAGATTTATTTGGGCATAAGCTTTCGTGGGTAAAATACCTACTTCAGAGGCACTAAAAACCCACTTCTTCAGTTAGGCATTGTGATGCTGAATATCACAGTGCCTAACTTCTAAGTACCTAGAAAAATCATTGGGATTCACAAAGCCTGAGTTAGGCACTTAGGCTCCTGCACAATAAATGGGCAGAGATAGGAGCCTTAGATGGTGATCTACAAAAGTCAGCACACTACACAGGATGCCGTCTAAGCTAGCCAATGGGCGATGCTGATCAGAGGGATGTGTGCTAAGCCCCATCCTTCTCATGGAGATAGGGGCCTAATTTCAAACCTCTCTCTGCTAGTGATTCTCAACTGTAAACCTTCTCCTGGTGTTAGGCCCCTATGCCATGTTTGCACAAGGCTGAGGACGAGGACTTTCTCCCTCATAACATTTAGCCCAATGCTTAGGGTAGTCACCTGGGATGTTGGAGACCCCCACTTCAATTCCCCCCCCCCTTGAGGGGGAGAAGGGATTTGCCTGCCAATCTGCCACCTGTTGGATGAGTGCTCTAAACACTGGGCTATGGGATATTTTGAGGTGGGGCTTCCTCAACCTCTCCTGCTGAAGCTGCTGCACTCTGGGTAAATAATTAGAGTAATTGGAGTCGGAAGACTGGATCCTGGGTCTCCCATATCCTGGGTCAGAGCTCCAACCACCACTCTATAAAGTCACTTGTGTTTATGTTTGTGCCTTTTTTCTTGTTCTCTCTCACCCCCGCCCCCGCTCCCCTGAGACGGAAGATGTGTTTGTTACATGCTGTGTGCACTAGCTGGTTTCTGTTAGTCTGTTTTCTGTTTTGTTACTGGCTGTTTCTTTGTTTTAGGGGCATTGTTGGGTCTCCCCTTTTGTCTTAGGTGAGGGTTCTCCATGGGGCCCACTTCAGATGGGTTTAGCAATTTGACCCGTAAGTAAGGGGTTTTGTGTGTCCCTGCTCTCTCCTGCACTGGGGAAGATATGTTGCTGAGTGTAGGTAAGGTATTGACTGTGCTACTATAAAATCTGCCTCTCATATGAGCAAATCTATAGTGATTTTCCTGGCCCAGGAGCAGTTTGTGAATTGTTTGGTACAGGAGGGACTTTGGGTGAAGGAGTCTTTTGTTCATGTTTTCCTTTGTTTACTCCTCCTGCTAAAGTAATTTTTTCCAAAGTCCCACATGTCCTTCACAATGAGATGATAGTGTCTGCTCTCTCCCATTATGGGAAGGCAGTTTCTGCTGTTACGCTATTTCTGTTAGGATGCAAGAACCCAAATATGAGGCATGTTATGTCATTCTGGCACCAGGTTTATGGGGCTCTAAATAACCCCAAATAGCCCTTGAACCCATTTTTAAAGTACCACACTGATGGGGTGGATTAGACAGTATTTGCTACCTCTGGAAACATGAAATATTTCTTTTGTGGTGGCCCTGGTCATTTGAAGGGTTCCTGCCCACTGTTGGCTAGGAGGCCCCTGGTAAGAATGTGAGACCCAGGAATAGTGGGGAAGGGGCTGGGACATCAAGGGAGCAGCAGGAAACAGCCGGCAACTGTACTGACAGATTCTATCTCCCCCCTTGCCATATATGGTCTGCTGTTGTTCAGGGAGCAGCTCCTCCCCTTCTCCAAGGAAACCTCTATTGTGACTCAATCACTTGTACCTGGACAGAAGCAAGGAGGTTGAGGAGCCCCTCCCTGCGGAGGAAGGAGAGACAGATTCTAGAGATGGAGGTGAAGAACAAACCAACGAGACATTTATCTGAGATTATTTCTGAAAGGGCTAAGATGTTGGAAACCCCTGAGCTGCTGGCAGTGGCTGAGAATGGAGCTGCATGCCCTGAAAAGGAACAGAGTGTTGCAAAGGGTGATAGCTCCATGCGTGGAGCTCCCAGTGGGGTACTGCCTTCCCCTGGCATTGTGAGTCCTCAAGCCTCCAGTCTTGCATGCTGCAGTGATGATGCTGGGTCCCAGCCTGAGGCTGTGCTGCCTCCCACTCTTGGGAAAATAGATGTGTCAGCATGCTCCTTCATGAATAATGAGAATGTTACAATAGCAGCTCAACGTTCTTCTGAGATGGTGGAATCTGAGGGAGAGGAAGAAGATGATGAGGATCTCTCTGACTCTTCACTGGTTCCTGATGTCCCAGCCAGTCAGCTGTATAGAAAGGGGGGTACAGCATGATGGAGATTAGTAACTTTGTAGATAGCGCTAAAGAGAAGCGGGGAATTGACGTCGAGGCCTGTTTCCCTGATTTACAGTGCTTCGTTCATTCAGCTGTGTTGGGGGGTTTGCATTTGAGTCTGGCAGTATTGCCCAGCGAAGAGTCTGTGGCCGAGAGCCTGTGGCCATGTTGCCAAGCAGCAAGAGTCTACAACCGGTATTAGGGGAAACCTGGTCCTCCTGCTCCAACAGGTTGCAAAGCGGGGCCCTGTGACTAGCTGTTTGGATATGTAGCCTGCGGGGCAGATGCCACAAAGCCTACTCTCTAGGTCACTTCCTATCGTGGCTTCTGCACCTCCAAAGTCACAGCGGAGTCAGCTTATGGACTCACCAAGGGGGGCTTCTCTATGACCGGGGTCCGGAGGCTTCTATTTGTTAGTCGTGGCCCGCCCTTCCCAGTCTACATGGGGGCCTCCGGCAGCTCGGCAGCGGGGTCTGGTCCAGGTGGTGAGGAACTCCTGCAGCCTCTCTGAGAAGCTACAAGCCTAGGACTGCTCCCTTGTGTAGTCTGCCCTGACTGAGCTGGGATGCTCCCTTTTGAGCTCTGCCTCAATTGTGAGCATGCCGAGCAGGTGTGGCTGGGCAAGGCATCTGAGCCCAGAGCTGTTCATTAACCCTTTTTCCCCTGGTATGGGGCTTATACACCCCACCACAAGCACAAAGAGGGATACCTCGGCTGATTGTAGGAAACATTTCCATCTCAGAAAGTTGTTGAGAAAGGTGAGGAAGCATGTGGGGAGGCCTCTCCATGGCTCATTTTGTTCAAAGTATTTCCACTTTCCATTGTTTCTCTCTGCTGCTTGACTCTCTCCTTCTAGAGTCTATGGTGCTGCTCAACTTTGGCACTCTAACTATTAATGGATGCTGGGATGGTCATAAAAGGGCACAACTCTTTGAATTTCTCAGACAAAAACGGGCTGATGTTATCCTTTTGCAAGAGATGCATTCAGACTCTGATAATCAGGGAAACTGGTTGAAGGAACAGACAGCTCCCTTGAGCCAATGTCACTGTTGGGGTGGCTGTTCTCTTTTCCCAGGGTGCAGTGGCACAGATCATTCCTATGAAGGAGACTGTGCAGGGTTGGCTTCTTCAAGAGGGAACACCTACTGGCACTTTTGTTTTTAATCTTTTTACTGTACATGCCCCTACTCTGAGGCGACATCTTTTCTCCTTTCTGCAGACACTTGCCCATGCCATGCTTGACTGTGATCCTCTGATATTATTGTTCTGGGAAGAAATTTCAATTGCACTGTACATTATGTTTTAGACAGGAACCAGTGGTGGGATGTCAGAAAGGTCCAGATTCAACTGTTCTGCCAACAGTATACCCATGCTGCCACGTGGTCTTTGCATCAGGCCATCAATGCCCTGGAATGAGACATCTTGGGCTTTCATGGCAACCTTGATGTGGGAAACCAGGTGCAGATTCACCAAACCTTAACTGAGGACTACCAGCTCCTGAGGTGCTTGTTGGAAGAGAAGGTGCAAAGGAGCCCTGGTTCGGGCCCATTTTACTCAGCTGCATAAAATTG